GAGTGCTAAGGAAACGTGCATGAATGAGAAAATAAAAAGTGGGACGGCACTTGGTAGAGTTATTAAGTGCAATAAGCAGTGAAAAAGAACTCGATGCGGTGCTCGCGCTGACTGACACACAGCCTAAGTGCGCGCACTGAAAGCCCCTCTCTCAACAGCATGCGATCGCGTAAACAGATCTCTTTCATGTTTTATTGTGCTTGAATGGTCAAATACGCACACTAATACGCAGTAATGTCATAATGCCTGTCGTGTGGAGTATTCAAGTAAACACAGTCGGTTATATGTTAAATAAATGTAAAACAGTTGGGTGAAAACCAGATGTATTTCAGTATATTGGATCCGTGCAGTCGGTCTTAAAGGGACAGCAGCCTTATTTACCTGCTGCTGTCTGTCATTATTAATGTTAATCATGTTTGATTGATACAGTGAAGACCATGCAGTGTTTTATTTATACACTGTATTCAATTTCTATAATATTTCTTACTACATGTTAAATAAACCTAGCCTACTGTAGCTGAATAATTTAAAACTTTATTTCATATTTATTCGTTCTGTTGTGCTTGTAATTTGCTTCTTTTTCTTAATTTTAATAAAAATAAAATAAAAATAGCTATATCGAGGTACATATAGTTATCGTGAAATAAGATTTTGGTCATATCACCCACCCCTACTTCCAAATATGAATAAAACTTTAATGGTACATAAATAATACTAATATAAGACTGATATGGACCTCAACTGAAAAATTATTTCATGTGGAAAATATACCAAGAGAACTGTGGATATAGATAAAAAAAGAAAAGAAAAAAATTAATATGAGAAAATGTCAAAGCCGGATTCACTCAGCAACTGCTGTGTAAATTCCTGCAAGATATATTGAGTTGTATATATTTAATTATATGGATACTATAAAGCTGTAAATATCATATGCAATAATAATAATAATAATCTGAACAGCTCTCCCAGCAGGCTATAATTGAGTGGAGAATTGCTTCCCAGCAATAACGTTATAATATCAACAGCCGTGTTGATGAGGCCCTCAAGACACTATAGCACTGAAACTCAAAGCACTTTTGCACACAAAATTATTTTGGGACAACAAATATGATTTTGTGAAGCTTACAGGTCAAAAGCTCCCAGCTAAACCACTCAGTGAGAGACCCTACAAATAGCCTCTGCTTTGAGCGGAGTGACTCAAATAAAAAATAAAAAAATAAAAAAAGCGAGACTGTTAAAGGGTTAGTTCACCCAAAAATGAAAATTAGCCTGCGTTTTACTCACCCTCGAGGCATCCTAGGTGTTTATGACTTTCTTCTTTCAGACGAATCCAGTCGGAGTTATATAAAAAATTGTCCTGGCTATTCCAAGCTCTATCATTGCAGTCAGCGGGTGTTGCAGTTGAACAGTCCACAAGTCATCAAATAAAGCGCGCGCATCCATAATAAAACGTGCCTCACACGGCTCCGGGGGGTGAATAAAGGCCTCCTGTAGTGAATCCATGCGTTTTTGTAAGATAAATATCCATATTTCAAACGTAATTAACACTTTTCTCTCACTTCCGGTTTCTGTCATACGCGGAAGGCGTTCCTGCGGATGACGTAGGACGTCGGCGTTGCGTGATTAGTGACGAATGCAGACGACTTGTGGACTGTTCAACTGCAACACCCGCTGACTGCAATGATAGAGCTTGGAATATCCAGGACAATTTTTAATATAACTCCGACTGGATTTGTCTGAAAGAAGAAAGTCATATACACCTAGGATGCTTCGAGGCTATTACAGGCTAATTTTCATTTTTGGGTGAACTAACCCTTTAAGTAGCCTATTCACTGCACCAACTAGCAAAATCTTTATAAAAATAGAGAGGAAAACAAATCGGAACAAAAACAACCACCAAAGCCCTCAGTGGATACTGTAGCTTGATAATGGCTCAAGCACTGATGCAAAACTCTTGGTGTAGCCTGACCTGGACGTGTCATGCAAATGAACATTTCACTTAAAGCAAAGAGCCTGAGAGCACTTACCAAAGTGACTGCTACCAGCAGAGGATAATGCTTCTGCTACATCACTATTATGAATGATAATAGCCACAACACATCATTGAGTACCACTACCTGCCATTTCATCAGCCTACTCTAGCAGAACAAGCCAAGTGGATGATGACTTGCAGGAATAATATCTTTTGACTCAGAGGTCCAAAACAGCAGTTGCTAGTGAAGTTTTTGAGCCATAGATAGAAAGTAGGACAACCAAGCTCATGAGAGCAAAAGACACCAGCTGTGCAGAACAAACTGACTGTTTAAAAGTCACATATCAAAAAAGTTCATTACAACACCAATCAATCTGTTTAATATGGCCTAACGTCCATTGTATCATCAAATATTAACATCCACTCTACAGAATTAACTTGAGACGAATAGTCTGGATACATTTACACAGCTCACGTGACTATTAAAAATTAAAAAGCCGATGACAATGAACTGATTGTTCGAGATCGTTTCGCTTCAGATTGTTTATTGTTTATGTGCAACTCATCAAAACGCCTCAGTGAATCAAGTCCATGATGTCTTTGAGCTCAAGAGTCCCATGAATGTAGTGACCTAAATAGTGGTCGACCGATATGGGGTTTTTGACAGCCGATTTCTTGGAAAGCAAGGTGGCCGATGGCCGATATAAAGCCGATATAATTTTATTTATTTTAATTTATATTTAAGAAATTTTAAATCATTTGAAAATGGATTAAAAATAATTGTGTAAAATAAACATACTTATACTCTAGAAGACAAAGTATTTTTCACAAATAAATAAATATTTAATAAAAATCTAATTAAAAAGGAAGTAAACACGGTAACCAACAGGGCACTCAGTATTCTGGGAAGTTTGTGTGAATCATTTTTATTTATTTTTTTTCAAATAAAGCCAAGGTAACACTCATTTTACACACAGCACGCAATGAAAATGACATGAATATGACAGTGGGCAACTGCATAAAGCGCAGCATAATTTGAAATCACTAGTTTAAACTTTGTCGATCACGCGTCTCCAGTGAAGCTGAACTCTCCCTCCTGTCAGCATTCAATTTGCACGGATCGACCGTCACCCAGAGAACACACGAACTAAGTTTGCAAGGTTTGTGAAATTAAATGTTCATTAGTCATTCAAAGATTTGTTTAAATGATATAAATGCGTGTTTGCTGAATGCTGATGGCAAATGAGAAAGTATAATGTTTGCCTAAAGTTCTATTACTAATAATATTAAAGCAATCGTTATAATACTTTTTTGTATACATTTTAATTCATTTGTTTAACAGTTCTATCTGATTATTAGATAGACTTATATCCATATTAGACAGAACTGAACAACGACAGCGAACAAGAGGGAGAATGTGAGCGGTGTGCGCTCTCAGGCGCTGCCGTTCTCGCCAAACAGAAAAACTTATCGGCCGATGCCGATATTTGAAAAATGCCAAATATCGGCCGATATATCGGCCATGGCGATATATCGTCGATCACTAGACCTAAACAACTGACTCCTCACAAGTGAAAGAACTAAAAACAGACCATGTTGCATATTAAATACGCATATCAGAGCAAACAGGTCACCCGCACGCACATACATACGCTAAAAGTGACTACATTTGATTTCTGTAATGTCTTTGGCACATCTTCAGGAGTGTGTCGCCAGAGCACTCTATCATAATAAAAATGTCCATACATGATTGAACCACTGTAAGTGGCATGGCTGATGTCTTTATTGTTACTACATTTCTGTTGAACTTATGGAAAATGCTCTTAAAGTTACAGTTTAAAGCAAAAATGTAGTTCCAAAACCATTTGGAACTAAAGAAAATATTTTTAATATTCTCTCTCTATTTTTTACCCTTCCATTAAGAGATGGACCATAATTTGCATGCTTCAAAAAGTACAAATAGACATAGAAATTCATATGAATCTAGCAGTTTAATCAAAGTCTTCTGATCACAAGAGATATGATTACTTCATATGATGATTAGATTTAATTTAGGCTTTTATTCAGATATAAACACTGATCAACACATACATCAAACATAGCCAATGGAAGCTCAAAAGTGCTTGCTTAGATGAGAAAATTTTGGTTGGGTGGTCTTTCAATGGATAGAAAAAAATTGATGAGAGAATAGCAAATATACCTTCATTTGTGTTGTTAAGATGAATGAAAGTCTTATGGATTTGGAAGGACATGAGGGTGAGAGTAAATGATGATTTTTGGTTGAACTTAATATCTTCATGCATGTCTAAACTTGTAAATGAAGCTCTCACACCTCTTCCTCTTGCAAATAAGAGAGTATATAAAGGCCATAAAGGGTCTGGTAATAATATAAATTCTGTCATCTTTCACTAATCTTCATGTTGTCAGGCAGAAGGACAATCCCAGTCACCATTCACTTGCATTATATGGAAAAGGAGTCATTGAAAGGGTGACTGAGGTAGTCCATTCCTTACATTTCACCAAACATCTCCTTTCGTGATCCACAGAATAAAGTCAAACAGGGCTGGAACAAAATGAGGGTAGCTAAATTTTCATTTTAGGGTGAACTGTCCCTTTAAGGTTCCTGAATACACATTGGCTAACGTTGCGTTTTGCCTATAAAAGCAAAAACACTTGGGAAATCTACTAGTAAACAGTGGCCAAGTTAGGATAAACAACCCAGGCCATTTTATAAAACCAATACCAACTACATATTTAGATTAAGGGGAATTTACATTTATTTTGAATCTTTTGTAGATGTACAATAGCAAGAATAAAACAAAACAAGCCCACTACTCCTCAAAGTCTAATACAAAGAAGCGTCACGAATTATCGTGTAAAAATTGCAATTTAACCACAATATTTATGCATATTTTCAGCATAAAAAGTAACGCGCCAATGTGTTTTGTTAACATTTGTAACACCTGTTGTTTTACTACAGAAACTATATCGGCTGTAATCAACCATCATCACTGTAACAAGCACTAACCTTGATCCGCTTCACTTTCTTCCACTTGTTATAACAACGCCATACGCCATTCACTCTTTGTCGGGATTCCCTTCATTTCCAAAAGCTCTTCCCGCCTTCCACACACGGATTCAATGGATTTGAATTGATCTGTTGAGAGATTCCTGGTTAATTCCAACGCTCCCCTGACAGTCTATTGAACACAATGACAAAGAGGGATAAGGCTTTAAACTGCTGTTTCCAAAATGGAGTGATCCCACAGCCAATCACACTCCGCCTGCTCTCTTACCAATAACAGCACTTTGTTCACGCGGAGCTGCTTGCGTGATAAAATCGTGCGCTGAACAGTAACTTTAAATAATTTACATCTTGAAATGTTTGTTTTAAGGGAGTTTTATGAAAAGGAAGCAAGTTTCCAGGCTGGAGTAGGTGAGTGCTGAATACCCTTACAAAATTACCATGGCAACCACAGTTTCCGCCAAAATACCAACCTAGAGTGATTGTTTCTATTATGAAACTGTGGCAACTTGGCCACCACTGTCAGCAAAAATAAGCAAATTAAGCATGATGACTTCTGAAAGCTTTATACTTTGAAGAAGATATTAACGTACGGTGTTTTACTGTATTGGTTGTAAGTATGGAATTTATGTTATTGTATATGGCGCCTGTGAAGACACTATGAACTGATTCCTTTTTCCAGATGTAGGAAGACAGGACGTGTGCTAGTGGATGAAGTTGCTGTCAGATGGTGTATGTCTCCATCTTCTGGTGAACTGCATACACAGCACTTCTTCAGCCAACCACAAACAAAAGAATAATCTTTTAACTTTAAAAATTATAATCTTTATTGACTGTTTTCACAAACAGAAATAACAAAGTATTTAAATAATAAGACATATGGTCCAATACAATACTGACATATGGTCTGACATAAACATAAGGCTTGAAAATATAGCATAAAATATGCTCAGTAAGATAAAAAATTATATTACAGCCCTTAATACTTCAAATAAAACAAACCAGTTATCTATACAAGATGTATACATTTGAACTTTATATTGGCCACTTAACTTTAAAAATATTATGTATTCCAGAGGTAAAGTATACTGAGCTAACTCGCCTCATAAATGTATATGCTATAAATGTACCACTACTTGATGTTAAACCATTTCTAAAGCTTATCATGTAACTTACAATGACAAAGTTATTGTGTGTACAAAAATGTAACACACTTGCGAACAGTCAAAGACATCAAATAAATTAAATAAATGTATGCATTTAGCAGACGCTTTTATCCAAAGCGACTTACAGTGCATTCAGGCTATACATTTTTTATCAGTATGTGTGTTCCCTGGGAATTGAACCCACGACATTTGCACTGCTAACGCAATGCTCTACCACTGAGCCACAGGAACATTAAATAAGGAAAACAAACTATTTTAGAGATGTTCTGTCCACAAATCAGAAAGTAACATGGTCATTATTTTATTCTCTGCAGGATAAAATAACCCTCTGTACTGAGGCTTTTAAATTTAAAAATGCACATTGTTATTGCTTTGGATATAACTGACATGGGCCACTATCTCCAATGTGCTATCTAAATCTTCTATTTAATTAATCTTTCTAAATATCTCATTTTCCCTTCACTGTAAATTAAGGCAAGCGTTATTTGAGATGTTACATAAAATAAGAATGATGTAGTGCTGAAATCTATTTTAGACATTTAAAAACTCATTGTAACAAATACAGACACTGATTAAAACCCTAGGCTCCTTCTTAAAAGGATGTTTTTTGGATGGCTATGAGTATTCTGAAAATTATTTTGAATCAAGTTTTTATAACACATAGTGACCAGATTAAGTCAAAGCAATAAGTAAATATCCAGCATCTAATTTGCTGTCTGTACTAGATATTTTAAACAGTCAGACTCATCCGGTGACCTGTGAATACATAGCTAAACAAATGTTTCAAATGAAGCAGTTGCACGTTGCCAAGATGTCAGTAACAATAATAAAGCTGGGAACGTAGATGTCTGAAGGAGTCCTCTCCACGTGTGCCAGCTTGCTCTCCCTCAAACAGCATGGAATCTGGCAGAATGACGCCCTCCAGAGGATCAGGCTGACAGAACTCCACCACAAACTCTTCCTCAGCCTCCAGCAGCGTTCTGGACCAGGCAGACATGTCAAGTCTTCCAGCCACTCCTCCATACTCTTGAGGCAGTACAGATTGAGGAATGACTCGATGGAGAGAGGCCAAGTCTGAGCCGTGCAGGACATACTGTTGGGAGAAGACAGACTTGTTTCTAGAATTATTGTGCTAGAAATGTCTGTGCGTAAATACCAGGATAAATAGCTAGTTACTTACCCTCTCTGCCATTTTCTCTTTCAGAAATGGCTTAATTATTGCAAAAATACCCTTGAAGATACGTGGCTCATTTATAATGTTTACAGCCTTTATTCTGATTGGGAAGCCATCCTGAAACACAAAAGCAACGGTCAGTACAAAAAATCAATGACTTCATCGTAATGAATCGCTGGGCTACTTTTGCAATGTCTTACCTGAAGGATACCGACAACTTTCTTTGCCAAAAGCGGTCCTGGATTAGAGGCTTGAGAGAGGCCAACTCCTGTATAATCCACCAGGATAACAATTCCATTCACTTGGGTTTCCTCAGGCTGAATCAGCTTCTCTAATGTCAAATAAATAGCCCGAATGTTGTCCACAAATGGGTAATCATTAGGCTTCCATTTACCTAGGAAAGCAAAAGACAAAAAATGTTTGTTTTTTCTTTATTGTTAACAGTAACACTGGGACAATATACTGTAGATATCAAATCAGCAAGAAAGAGAAACTGTGATCATCTTTTCGTCTCTATTTCGTAACTATTTTAAACTGCAATAATATTTCACAATGTTACTGTTTTTTCTGTATTTCTGATCAAATGAATGCATCCTTGATGAGCAGAAGAGACTTTCTTAAAAAACATTACAAATCTTACTGATCCCAAACTTTTGAATGGCAGTCAGTGTATATATGCACTTTATATAAGTCTGTTATAAAGATCTCATTGATTTACAAGTTACCAGAATTTCATATTACTTTTTGGCCATATAAATATCAGCTGCAACAAATTGCATACAGTATTTTTGTCCAGTTAGGGCCTCTGAATAACACTGAGTTTTTCTTTCCTTCTCGAGTGTGAGCTCCATATTATCACTATATCATACTATATGAGCCTATAAACTGTTCCATTTCAAAAGATTCTATTTTTTCTGACTATTATTTCTTATACCAGGTTTTACATAGTTCATTTTTTTTATTATTCATTAATCTTACCCAAAGATTTAGGTTTCGTGTCTGATTAAGGTCTTGTTAAGACAATAAGAAGCATTACCTGGTCGTAAACACAGTATGTAGCGTCCATGAGGGTCTGGTCTGGGCAGGACAGTGAGAAAACCCAGATCTAGGACATGCTTCATTGTGGAGGGCTTCAGGTCCTGAAACACCTCAGGCCAGGCTTTCCGGCTGGCATGATAATTCAAGAGTAGCTGAAGGGCCCGGTCATAATCAAACTTTCTGGCCCTGAGGAAGCGTAGAAGAAATGCGTCGTCTAACCGTGTCCTCAGATTAGGGTGGTCTTTTAGTATCATATCTCGTAATGCCTGGACATCCCGGAGCCTCCATTCGGGCTTCTCCTGGAGCTCTTCCCGTGCCTTGGCCACTAGTTCAGGAGTCAGGGTGCAGGCGTAGATGGGTGGGGGTGGAGCAGGGAAGCCTACACCTGCCACCACTTCTCTTGGAGGGCCAAGATCAATGTGGCCATTTTGGTCTGCCATGGGCTATTGGTGTAGAGAAATATTCAAGACTCATTTAATATAAAATCATGTAAATGACAAACATAGAGCAGTTTACGGGCAATTGTTAATAAAGAAAATGCCATCAAGCACTAATATTTCACAATGTTACTGTTTTTTCTGTATTTCTGATCAAATGAATGCATCCTTGATGAGCAGAAGAGACTTTCTTAAAAAACATTACAAATCTTACTGATCCCAAACTTTTGAATGGCAGTCAGTGTATATATGCACTTTATATAAGTCTGTTATAAAGATCTCATTGATTTACAAGTTACCAGAATTTCATATTACTTTTTGGCCATATAAATATCAGCTGCAACAAATTGCATACAGTATTTTTGTCCAGTTAGGGCCTCTGAATAACACTGAGTTTTTCTTTCCTTCTCGAGTGTGAGCTCCATATTATCACTATATCATACTATATGAGCCTATAAACTGTTCCATTTCAAAAGATTCTATTTTTTCTGACTATTATTTCTTATACCAGGTTTTACATAGTTCATTTTTTTTATTATTCATTAATCTTACCCAAAGATTTAGGTTTCGTGTCTGATTAAGGTCTTGTTAAGACAATAAGAAGCATTACCTGGTCGTAAACACAGTATGTAGCGTCCATGAGGGTCTGGTCTGGGCAGGACAGTGAGAAAACCCAGATCTAGGACATGCTTCATTGTGGAGGGCTTCAGGTCCTGAAACACCTCAGGCCAGGCTTTCCGGCTGGCATGATAATTCAAGAGTAGCTGAAGTGCCCGGTCATAATCAAACTTTCTGGCCCTGAGGAAGCGTAGAAGAAATGCGTCGTCTAACCGTGTCCTCAGATTAGGGTGGTCTTTTAGTATCATATCTCGTAATGCCTGGACATCCCGGAGCCTCCATTCGGGCTTCTCCTGGAGCTCTTCCCGTGCCTTGGCCACTAGTTCAGGAGTCAGGGTGCAGGCGTAGATGGGTGGGGGTGGAGCAGGGAAGCCTACACCTGCCACCACTTCTCTTGGAGGGCCAAGATCAATGTGGCCATTTTGGTCTGCCATGGGCTATTGGTGTAGAGAAATATTCAAGACTCATTTAATATAAAATCATGTAAATGACAAACATAGAGCAGTTTACGGGCAATTGTTAATAAAGAAAATGCCATCAAGCACTATATGTATATATATATACTGTATATATATATATATATATATATATATATATATATAGGGTACACTTAATTCTTTTATGCATTTTCACAGTTTTAGCAAATTTTAAACAATGTCCCAAAATTGGACAATACTGAAATACAATAGAAAATTCACATTAATAATCACACTAATTTACGTAGATTCAGCTTCAAATAATTCATTTTATTACTAAGTTTACTACTTTTTGGAACCTATATTAGCTCTTAAGGTATTTCAGAACTATTTTCTATGCCCTTAAATTGATGCAGCTAGTGTGAAAATCAATGTTTTGTTGGTAAATGTAGATTTTGCAAATATCATGTTAATATTTATACAATGACCATGTCCATTTTCCTGGTGACTATTAAATGAAAGTAATCGTGGTATTATTTTCTACAGTATTTTCTACATACAGCAGGATCTTTTATGAAGAACAACTGTAAAAGGACTCATATTCTTCCTGGCGCTACTGTGGTGTTCATGAAGTACTGTAATTAAATATATGAAAGCCAGGCATGGTACTTTAAAATGCTGAATGATTAAAATTTTTAAACGTTTAAAAGTTGATGCCCTTCATATAAAAACGAACAGAAATCAAACAGGGAATATTACCAACCTGTCAAAGGAATCCGCAATCAGTTCCGTGTACAGCGAGAAGCCGTTCTACCATTGGTCACTCGGTATCATGTGATGTATGACGCTAGACACGTATAATCAGTCTTAAAGGTTTCCCTTAAAGGTACAATATGTAAGACTTTCGTAATAAAATATTCAAAAACTAATTGCACAGTGTTATATATTTTATGCAGTTGTGTATTTATGTTATTCCAAAAGTTCCCAATTATTTGTAAATCCAGAGAAATTCCCATTTTAAATAATGGCTGGTCCCTGGTCATTGTCGCCCATCAATGATGTAATATCCGCATATCCTCAGTTTCTTCTTGGGGCTATGTGTTTTTTGGCCAATTGCAGCAGACACAGGGAGTGTTCGGGGTAACCTGTTTACAAACGTGGTACAGGACAGGTAAGGAGGTATCTTTGCATTAAGTAAAAGTGGCGTTGGTTTTGGTTATAAAAATCAACTTTTACTTTCCATATGCTGTTAATAGGCTTCACTTTATTACTTTCTGTCCCATCGACAGTACCCTAGGTGTTCGAAACCGTTATGAAATAAAAAAATATTGAACTATATCTTGAATGCAACTTGACACCAGGTTTATTGAATTATAGATGTGATTAATTAATCATTCAATAACTGGCACATCTGGTTATATCATTCCCTGCAAAGATTTCTTAAGAGAAACTATCAGTAAGGCGCCTGCTTTATGAATTGTTTTATTGTCTGTTATCAGTGTTAAGAAGCACACACCTCCAGCAGCACTAAAAAATCCTTGACCATTCTTTGCCACGTACACTTACTTTTATCATCTTGTTTTGAAGCTGGTTTTACGGCTGGAGATGATTATGAGCCTGAAAGGTTGCCCTGAAAAACTTTTGCCATTGAATAAGGCTTTACATTTGGAAGGAAATGGATATGCATGATCACAATTTAACTGCCTACTGGAGAGAAAAAAAAACAGTCTAAGTTGCCTGGATTTAGCTGGTCTTCTAGCCTGATCAGATACGTGCCCAAAACCTGTCCAAATTCAGACCAACAAACCATTTGAGACTGGTTTAAGTTGGATTTTCTAGCAGAGTATATAACAACTGTATCTTCCAAATTAAAAGGCTTATTGAGTTGTTTGCTCAGACCATCTACTGAAATTATGGTAGATGCTGTTTAAAAATGTACATTATTATAGCAGCTTGTGTGACCTAAAGATAAGATTCTAAATGATAATTATAGAGATATGAATGGAAATAAACAACAGCACACTTGTATGTAAAAATATAGCCTTGACATTTAATATGTTCACATTGCAAGTTTGAAATTAGCCTTCTCCCAGAAGGCAGTAATTGTAAAGGGGCAGTGAATGACCAATATGTAAAACTATAAATGAGTGTGACATTCTCTTACTGTATGCATACATAGACATCACTATCTAGTTACAGCTAAGGGGTTGAACAGGAAACAAAAATGTTTGTTTTTTATCCTAAAATCATGAATTAGAATAGACTAAATCCATTTATGAAAAAAGGAAATCGTTATATTTACAATTTAAGTATGGCACATACAGAAAAATATGAAATTCACATATTCTTATCATACATAAAATAATTACCAGCATTTTGGTAAATAACAATATTTCCAAGGCACAAAATGTTATATATTCTCTCAGGATATCATAAAAGTACTATAAGAGCCAGTAGCAAGCTGTTAAAATACTGTACAATAAAACAAACATCTGATCATATTCAGGCCTGCTGTAACATTTATGGAACTCAAACTCTCCTTGAAAGGAGAAGAAAACTTGCATAGCCTTTGTATTATATGGTGTTATATGCTGTTGTGACTCCTTGGGTAGTATAAATATGCACCACTAGTTCGTTCTAAAACATACATACAGCAAACAAATGAGATGGGATGAACATATATATTTAAAGTGTGATTGTTGCACACCTTTAAACTAAACTATTTTGGTTTAAAGTTCTTAAAATAGGAAATTCTGAACAATTTCACAGTGTCTTTACTAAAAAGCTTAAATTTAACAGCTGGGGAATATAAATGTTAGTGTTACTGTGTCCAGATGCCTATGAGAATGAATTGTCACGCTTAGCACAGTCTATTAATAGACTAATAATAAAAAAAACTTGAGCTGAGTTTCTCTGTGCACTCAGATGGCCTCTTGTTTAGTGATGGTTGGTTGAGGGATGGAGCTTGGTTGCTTGGGCACTGTGGCTATAACACCCGGAGCCATTTTGTAATGATCAGAACCTGAGGCCGTCGGGGGAGATGGGATTGGAGTTTCCGGAGTGGCTGTTTGGAAAAAGAGCAAGAGGATACATTAGATCAAGGGTCCACATAGGGGAATTATGGAACCTTAAATAAGCATAATTTGCATAGCATGATAACATGCAAAAGAAAGAAACCATTGGTTGACACGAAATAAGCATGCTTATGACATTTCTGAAGGCATTAGCGCAGAAAAGCATTACAGTAGCCTTCTTTGACTAAATAAGCCTGATTAGTTTCTACGATTCTGGCAAGGATTACTCCAACAAGGCTGTTTGTCCCTGACTACCTGGTTTTCTCATTTTAAGGACCTATATTTTCTGTTCGGTTCTCCGTTATAACAAATTTTCATTCACTCAGTTCAAGAAGATAGTGTTACTTACACATCTGGCCATTGTGAATTGGAGTGGCCATGTTTGTGGTGGTGACTATGACATTGTTACTGAGGTGCTCCTGGACCAGATGTGGGTGTAGAGAATGATGGGCATGAGGAGCTTCATTAGCTGAACCTGACAGAAAAAGAGAGTCATTAAATCTCTGATTGGGAAGATCATTTACAAATCTGAATCAAGTAGGAACTTGTTTTGTCAGTCTATATGAACTATGTAGGGTTATTAAGAAACCGGAGTGTATAGGCTGCCTTTTTTTATCTCAGTTTTCAAGATTATGACAAGCTGTTCCTAGATGTTTATCATGCATCTCAGATATTGCACCTTTTGACAGCTATCCAAAGTTAAGGGTCATTTACATACAGTGCTGTCTAATAACCATGACTTTGCACTTGTCTACAAAGTTTCACTTCATTAACAGAAATCAGTTACCTCCTAGAAGCATCTCTTGTAGCAGGTTGTCTATCTTCGCCATTCCAAACAATTTAACAAACTGGATTTGCTCGATCATTTGCCAGGTGATGCTCTGCAGCATCGGCAACAGAAGAAGTAGCTCGCCAAACCGCCCCCGCGAGTCGTATTGCCGGTCATTGATGTAGTCCTCCAAACTAACTTGAACTTGGTATCGCATACGTTTGATCTTGCTTGGGTCGCTTAAACCTTTGGCATCTACGTGAGAAAGGCCATCACATTAGATCTTTTTGAAAACTCACTCGACATTCTGCTCTGTTTTGTCTCATTTTTAGGGCAATTTCCCACCTGGATCGAAAAATACAATGGCCTTCAAGCAGGCATATTCATTGTCATCGATCTGGAGATCCTGGAAGGGAAGGACTAACTCGTCAAGGATCCTTACAGACACACGGCTCACCTCCAATTCGGGACAGTTTCGTGGAATTATATGATCATTACCTGCGAGAAACATGGAAAATTGTGAGGTAAAACATTAGTAAAAGCGCTTGAGTCCAGAAGTCTGTCATATCCACATTTCCAATGTGCTTTTGAACTTACCTAATAGTAAAATGTCCTTATACAGCATGGAACGTTTGGCAGCTCCTAGTAGCAGATGTTCTCCAGCATGAGCTCGCAGTAAAGCCACCTGAGACGGATAAACATGCATAGGTTTGGTTAGAGTCCTTTTTATAACCATAATAGCTGTTTCTTTCGCCTAAAATTAAATGGAGATATATTCAAAGTATTTATGGAGGCAAAATCAGGTCTGTGTTCATGCCTGAATGTGCATGTGTGTATTCACGTGCATGTTTGTGTGAGAAGATGCAGTTTGAGGCGCTCTCACCCACAGCTTAAACACTGATCAGTTATCATGCCTCAGTGCTCAGCATGTTAATGATTCTGAATGTCTCAAGAAGAGATGTAACTTTCAAACCATCTCATCATATTCTAACCTGAGCCATCTAAAATACATTAACCACCCAAACTGAAGATCTCTGAACTTTTTCTCCAACTGAGACAAAAATTTGAGCCGACTGACACTAATATCTATTAAATGTACATTGAGGGAGTACATTTTCAGCTAAATAAGAGGTGCTTATCTTACCTGATCATCCAGGGGAAGGTCACAGAATGCTGGGATGTATTTAGCCCATTCAACCAGCACCAGCAGCTGCTGTTTCATAGACTCGCACACATCGGTTATAGTGGCTGTCTTCTTCGTTCTGATGTCGCCATTCATGATAGAACTGGGTGATGAGATCTGCATAGTAGGATATGGGAGAAAATCTTAATATCTCTTAAACATGATTATACATACATGCATGCATACACACATACATACTGTATGTATAGTAATGATTTAAATGTACAATCATGTTATAAATATAAATCATGTAATATATTTTAAAGGTGAATTTGTCATTTCTGTGCCTCTAGCTACACCCAGTGAAATTGCAGTAGGGTTGACTGTTTCCGAACAGGTTTCCAAATCTGCCACTGCCCAGATAGTCATGCTCAAACCAATGCCATTGGTTAAGCGTGTGTTGCCATGTGGTTCTGATTGGGATGCTCAAACAAACAGGGCAATGTGTTGACAGCTGTGTCACAGTGTTTAAATATTTTTTAAGGAATCAACCTACGTCTAAGAATCAATGACGTCTTATTGTCTCTGCATTTTGAACTGGGTTAAGAGAACATATTTTAGAGATATTTAAGAGAACATATCACAATTCACCTTGTGATTTGAACCTAGATTTGAATCACACTGTGTACCTGTCTAGAAAGGACATCAGCTTGAATGAGTGCGTTTATGGAGGGTAAGCTGCTGTCTTCATAGCTGGATCTTCTGGTGCTAATCCTGTCTCTTTCATTCTGCACAGCTGAGAATGAGAGGAACACTTTTAATCAGCAAATTAACATTACATTTATTACAAATACACATAGAAGGTGTATTTTGACCACTCTGAGTAAACCACTGAAACATACTCTTTCATTATCAGTAGCAGTGAATGCCACCCAGTTCTGACAACCAATTGAGATAGCAGGGATGAGGCATATTAGCCGACTTTGTGAGAGGGGGGAGTTCTCAAGGTTGCGCTTTTTTATCAGTGTGCAGTTATGATGGCTCTAAACTGTTTGTTCAGCATAAACCAGACATAGACCTCAGTGCATTGTTGAGTGAACATTAACAAAATGTCTCTTGCTAACTCTCTCTCTGCTGTTGCAACATCTCCCATTTGCGCTACCACATCCCCTAATCTCCCAAACAGGGCAGGGAGTTTTAGTCTTTGTTTTTTACTTCTTTAATAGCATTATATGAATGAAATCTAACAGCATGAGGAAGTACCTTCCTTCTTCATCCCAGCTCGAAAACATTTCTTTAGTCTGCAGTACCGGCACTGATTTCTCTTGTCTTTGTCCACTATGCACTGTCTGTTAAATCTGTATGGAAGCATAAAGAAGTCAGAGATTTACTTTGACTGTAACATTTAAAATTATTGATTATAATGTTTCATATTTACAAAAAATATATAATAATTTAAATATAATATATATTATTGTCAATCTAACTCAAATGTAAACATTTTATAAATTGGACTCTTACTGCTTTACCTAAATATAACTTTACCCTACATATTAGATTACTTTGTCAGGTTGATACTGGTTGGATATCAATTTGTTGCACAAAACCTAGACATGGGAGACTTAGCTGCGAAACATTTACATGACACCCTCTTTGCTCAGTAATCATTCATCCTGGTGTCAAACTTCTCTTGAAATACTATCCAAACAAGTCATTTTATCCCAAGCCAACTGTATGAGAACAAGCAAGAGGAGTCGAATGAACCTCTTCTTCTTGTAGAGTACCATTTCTGCAGGACAGAGCATGCTGTGCTTCTTATCTTCTCCTGAAAAATTTATTTTGTATTGGCTTTTACAATCAGTATTGGGTGTTCTGTGCAAAAGGTTACGAACTTGCCAACTGGCACTTAACTATAAGCCTATCATCCCTGTTAAACATCTGCCGCCCACTCTTGACCATATACTATATACTAGCCTATATAAGTCACTAAAGGTCTCAAAGTTCACCGCGGGTCTGAGCGGATGACTCACCTGTGCTCATCGCAAGCACTTGCATGTTCTCAAACTCCAGGGTGGTGTAGGCTGGGTCCAAGGCCTCGCTATAGTCTGCCATCTCCATGTCTACTAGTGGTTTGGACAAACGCATTCTCAGCTACCTGATGCTGGGGGGAAAGACTTGTCCTCTCCACAGCATTTGGACACCCCCTCATAGGCCAAGCCCCTCCTCTCGGAGGGGTAGACACCTCTGAGTGACAGGGGCCATGTCCTCAATGGCAAAGATGAGGCTTGCTGTGATTGACAGTCTGGGCCTCCTCCCAGGGCACGGCCCCATTCTGAAGTGGGATGGCTCTTATGTTAATGATTAAAGTGCTAAATCAGAGTTGTTGTTTTTTTCAGAGACTGAGACAAACAGGGGGTTTTACTGTCTTATTTTTTGTCTCAATGTCCTAAATTCATTACTAGAAAAATATAGCCAGTCTCAACACTATGCTTTCTATCTCAGTTCCCCAACAATGGCTTAAGGGGTCATGAAAGATGACTGTCTGGGTCACTGTCTTGACACATATTAGAGAGTATGGAAAAGTGACTCATATTTGACTCTAATGTATAAGATTGAAAGTAAGTGGTCCGCATTTCATCGTGCAAATTGCGTATTTGCTAAATCTCTGTTAATTCTAGCACAATAAACAACAGCAATAACTCACACAGAGTAAAATTTGTGGCCTTTATGTAAAAGAGCTCATTGTTCTGTTGAACATTCTGCACGTGCACGTGATGCACAACTCGGTTCCAGTTGTACAGAAGAGATTGTTTACTTCTCATCAAACCTGTGCAAAACTAACATTTGGAAGGCAGTAAAATATCTGAATTCACAATAACACTGGCAGCTGTGGTTGCCAGAAGTTCACTGTTAAATAAAAAATAAATGCATGCAGTGACAGTAATGTTTCTGGGACATTTTAATGTAATATGTCTAATAAAAATGAGTAGTTAGTAAATAGTTCGGTTAACAGTCAGTACATAAATTTTTTTTATATTGCATATTATTTTATTCCTTCTCCATTAACATTTCTAACATTTGTAGGGTTTGGTGACACCTGTTATTGTCTCCACACAAGACTTGGCATTCAAACTACACTCTTAAGAATAAAGGTTCTTTATTGACATCTATGGTTCCATTAGGAACATTAACATTCATGGAACCTTTCCTTTGCACAAAAGATTCTTTTGATTATTTTTCTTCACACTAAGAAGAAAATTGTTCTTTTAAGAACTATTTACCAAAATGGTTCTTCTCTGGCATCACTGTGAAACCCCCTTTTGCAAACTTTTTATTTTTATTATTCTGCAAAGATTCTGACACAACAGTTTCTAAATCCCCTTGAGAAAAGGAAAAAACTGAGGCGATCATCTCTGTAAATAATGCTGAATTTGTAGACCAATCTATGCTTTCCTAACTCTTTTTGTAGAGGATAAAACTATTTGTTACTCAAACAGGAAAATTTGATGTTACAATTACGCAAATACCAACTTCAAGTACATAAGTGTCAGGGCCAGGGCAAACAGACAATATGTATATTTGAAGAGTAGAAAGCAACAGAACAAACCATGGGTCATCGTTCCTCAGTTCAGACCTGCCCTGAGCCTGTAAAATCTCATTTCTACCTGCCTATATAGAGAAGAACTACTGTAGCTATACTGTCAGAGTGAACAACCTAATTATCGTTTTGTGTGCTGTGCATTACAAAGTGTACACAAATACACTGCAAAAAAAGTCTTAATCTGTATGTAGTATGTTTTCGTGCAAATAAAAAAATAGAAAAAAGAAAAAAAAAATTGTGTTGTTTTCATAGAACAGAAAAACTATATAAACAAGAAATAATTGTCAGTGAGGTATATATATGTATATGTATATATATATATATATATATATATATATA